GGGGAGGCTACGGTGCTCGCAGTGGTGGTGGTGGAGGTTACGGTGCTCGCAGTGAAGGCGGAGGATCCGGTGGTCGCGGTGGAGGCGGAGGAGGATACGGCGCGCGCGGTGGAGGCGAAAGCGGGGGCGGTTACGGTGGTCGCAGTGGAGGCAGTGGAGGGTATGGTGGAGGTAGTCGCAGTGGAGGTGGAGGTGGAGGTAGTCGCAGTGGAGGTGGAGGGTACGGAGGAGGCGATCGCAAGTCCGGGTATGGCTTGCAATAGGTGTATCTTTATTATAGAATCTTGCTTATTCCTCACGCGTATATTAACATGCCAGCTATCCTTGCTCAAATACACAAAATAATACCTCTCATGACCGCTGCGATGTTTTATTCAAAAACTTGAAAAGATTTAAAGTGAGATGTATTTGTTCTTGCTGACATCGAGGGCCATTGTCGGCCCGCTGATGGCAAGCATGCAACAACACCCATTGTGCTTTACCTCGTTCACCTTTCCTTAAGCTCCAGGGAGTTCCTGGTTTTCCTGCGCTCGTCCAGCTGTATCTCAACAGTGTTAACCAGGCTCTGCAGTTTCTCAATAACAATCCCAACCCATCATGAATCCTTCTGCTCGCCGTCGAGTTCTCTCTTATTTGGCCGTCAGTTACTCTCCTTCTGACTCGCCCAAAAGAGCTGGCACAGCCATGAATCGTAGAATGGTGTACTAACATCCTACTGGCTGCCATTGTGCGCGAGAATGGAGGATTTCCGTTCAGAGAAAAACAAGATCAAAATGCCATTGTTCTCACACAATAGGGCATTTTGGCCACTCGGACCGCCTTCCCGCATCCAGGACGGGAACAAAAGGTTTCTGGCGTTGCAGGCCACAATGCCCGAGCTCGCCATTGACTCGTGCGCCGTTGGCAACGTTGTTTACTCTTCCTCTTTCCTCTACCACCACCATCCCCCACCGCGAGCAAGCCATGCTTGTTCCTGTTCTACCCGTTCTGCTCTCCGTCAGTACGCGTGAGTGGTTACATCTCGTGCAGCGCGTCGTGTGCTAACCTTGTATCAGTGGCGTCATCCAATACTTCTACGATCGTCTGCACTGCAGGCCAATGTCTTCAGGGTTTTTCAAACACAACTAGTGCGTGCTGGACTTTCTCAAAACAGCTCTGCCGCTAATATCTGCTTGTAGTCGGGGTCACATTATCTACCCCCGGGTCTCCGCCCGCCCTTCTGCTACCGGGTCAATACACTTCCACAACCGATCCGCAACTCCTCCATAACCTCCTCACATCGTCCGCGGGAAACCTATCATTCTCGCCGGGATTCAAAGACTCCTCCGCATCCTTTACGCTACCTCTGAACGTAGCCCAGGAGCCTGGGTTGTCCATCTACGCAGGGTCTCTGTACTCTGGGCAACCCGCCTTCACGGCCATCCCCGGTGCCCCCATCGGCGCCAACTCGTCGACACCACTGACTCTGCGCTCCCTCTCGCTCTCCTCTAGCGTATGGATCGCCGTCAACTCTCCTGCACCCGGCAACTCTCGGGTGATCGTTTGGGACTCCATCCCCGACGTCGCGCAGCTCCCCACCAGCGCGCCACAGACGCTCACCCTCTTCGACATCGAGTCCTCGGCTTGCTCTCCCCCGTGCGCGTCGTCGGGCATCTGCACCGCCGCCGGGACTTGCACCTGCGCTGCGGGGTTCACGGGCGCGTCATGCGAGTCCTGCGCGTCTGGATTCTTTGGCCCCGGGTGCGCAGCGTGCCCTAGTGGTTGCGCAAAGTGCGACGAGGGACTGACCGGCAGCGGGCGGTGTCTCGTCACCACGCCTGCTAATGCGCCTGCATCGTGCAACTGTGTCAACGGAGTGTGTGGCGCGAATGGCAGCTGCACGTGCACGACGGGGTTCGTCACCGCTGGGAACGGTACCGCGTGCAGCCAATGTGCGCCAGGGTTCTTTTTAACCTCGACCGGCGACTGCTCCAGTGCGTTTCCTTGCTTCCTTTTTAGCGTCAATCTTACTGAGCATGTTTTTTCATTTAGTTTGTGAGATTGGATGCACCGCATGTACGGCGGGTACGGGTGTTTGCACCGCGTGCAAGACCGGTTTCACGCTCGACGCCAACGACCGCACCAAGTGCACCCCCCCGCAAAGCACCACGTCGTCGGGCACCGTCTGCCCGCCCGGAGCGTTCTCGGACGGCACGAACTGCGCGCCCTGCTCGGGGTCGTGCAAGACGTGCACGGGTGGCACCTCAAACGACTGCATCCAGTGTGCCGCGGGTACGTACCTGCTGAACGGCGCGTGCGTGACGGCAGACGCAAACGGCGTCTGCGCGGGCTCGTCGTCGATCGCGGACAATAATAAGAACGAGTGTGATAGTGAGTTGTGTGTTCTGAGAGTCTGATCATGTTGTTGATATACTTACTTTTTCAGGCTGTGGCTCGAAGTGCACGTCCTGCAAGATCCCCAACTTCAGCTCAGTCTCGACGGTCAACCAGCTGCAGTGCACTGGCTGCGTCCCAGGCTTCTTTCTCTCGAACGGCAAATGCGTCGATAGCTGCCCCACCGGCACCTTTGTGTCGCCGCAGGATAACGTAACTTGTACCGGTGCGTCTTCATTGCATGTCCTCCTTCCTTTCCTGATTATCGTCTCCAGCATGCGATTCGTCCTGCACCACCTGCACCGGATCGGCCACCTTCTGCTTGTCATGCGCCTCCAACCAACTCGCCGCCTCGGGCAAATGCGTCGCAACCTGCCCCGGCAACACATTCTCCGCCAGCGGGTCCTGCCTCACCTGCCACCCCGACTGTGCCTCCTGCTCCGGCGCCTCCTTCAACCAGTGCTCCTCCTGCCCGCCGTCCCGCCCCGTGCTCACCAACGGGCGCTGCCTCCCGACGTGCAGCCGCACGCAGTTCTTTGACGCCACTTCGTCGACATGTCTCTCCTGCGACGACAGCTGCGCGAGCTGTTCCGGCTCGGGTCCAAGCCAATGCCTCGCCTGCTCTCGCGGCGACCAGGTGCTCCGCGCGGGAACGTGTGTCGCCGCGTCGTGCACGCAGTCCACGAGCGTCGTCCCCGGGCTCGGCGCGTGCCTCTCCGAATTCGTCGATGTTCCGGCAACCACGACCTCTGGCGGTGCGCCCCTCCCCACCGCCTCGGGCATTGACGCACCGACGTCCGCGGTGTCGCCGCCCCGGCGGGCGCTCGAGTGGTGGCAGATTCTCCTCATGGCGCTGGGGTGCGCTTTTATCTTCATTGCGGTGCTCTGGCTCTACCGCCGCCGCGCGAGGAAGCAGCGTGCTCAGCGCACGGCACAGTTTGCCGCGAAGCGCCGGCTCGACCCCGTCGGGTGGCGCTGGCGCCTACTCCGCTTTGGTGAGAAGCTCTTCGGGCATCGTGCCAGTCAACGTGCGCCCAATGGTACTGGGCTGGAGGGCGAGCCCGAGGGGCTCAAGATGGCGAAGATGCGCGCGGCGGAGGAAGCGAACGACGACCGGGATATGGATAAGCTGCTGGCGGCGTACGAGTATCCCCGTGAAACACCGAGGCAGGAGCATCGCGTTCTGCAGCACGGGCACGACAGGCATGCGTCCACAAGTGACGCTAGCACGCTGTCGGCGGCATCGATGTACTCCCAGATGACGGGCATGCCGCATCGCGTGCCAGAGCCGCGGGAGCCCCTGCGGACGACCCGCGATATCACCTCGCGCTTCTCTATGAGCACGATAGCGATGGATCCGTATTACCTGAAGTCGTCAACGCCTGCGCCGCCGCTTCCGTCGACGCGAAAAAAATCGAAAAATCCGTTTTGGCGATGATTTTTTGGACTTTGTGGACTTGACTCTACTCACATGTATTTCTAACTTGAACTTTTTCACTCATTCGCATTGCCATCTGTACTTGACCACTACACACCACGTTCATTATATCATTATTATCGTTTTTGTACCATCAATATTGTACATGCTCTCTGTATCGATTATCTACTTCCGTTTTATGCTCACCAATCATGCAACGTTTTGGAACTCCATATTTGAACAATGCACATTACTCTTCGCCCAAAGTCCTAGTTGACTACCGTCCTGCAGATACGCTGCCGATATACCTTATATGTACGCGGGAAGGCCTTCGACACGGTCAGCGCTCAGTAACAATATAAGTACGTAGTCCACAATTCCGCATCCGTTGGAACTTTCGATGGTGGGTGCCCAGATCTGTTGACATGAACACAAGTTGGATCAAAGTTGGATACATGCCCTGAAAAACACTATTGAAAGGTATACGACAAAGGTGCCACGGAAGTAAGAGCTACAGTGCACAATATCGTTTGTGCAAACGTTAGCGCTCGGTTCAATCTGAATCGTGGACAGGGGTCTAGCAAGATAGGGGGTTCAACATTGAGTTCGTCATAAGTTGAATCTCTTCAACAATTATATCCTACAAAGTAGACCTCTGTCCCTTACATACGGAAACATGACCTCCCTTCATGGGCAGAAACCATACCTTTGCGCGTTCAAGGTAGTATAGTCAAAAATTGATCCGGAATTGTTCATTCCAGATTTTAACCACACACGGCATCGCGGAATCGCAGGGCCAGAATAACCCCAAGTGCTTATCTCCTGCTTCAAAATCTGTTATTCCCAGAAACCTAGCTCTCAGTTCTGTAAAAGGCCTCTGAGTTACTTCAATTAGAGATCGTGGGTAGACTACTTATATTCAACCTGAAACTTGATGTACAAAGACTGGAATAATAGGGTAGAGACCCTTACCTGCCATTTGATATGCGTAGGTCCAATCCCTGGAGACATAGCAGGAGCCAGAAGCTCTGAATCACAGCAGACTCTGAGTAAATATATGAACACAGTTTATATTGAGATAGGTAAAACTTGATCGAATGCGCAGAAAAATGTTATGGGACATTTCTGGCTATCTCGTTGGCTTCTATCTCTTTTAAGGAGCAAAAAGAACGATCTCCGAGTGTCAGTCGACTGTCCGAAAAAGAGGAACTTCCGGTACGGGGAATCGAACCCCGAGCTGCCGCGCAGCTTTAGAGCGGTTATTAATTACGTAATAATCCTGAAAAGCGGCAATGTTGACCGTTACACCATACCGGAGATAGAGGAGAGTCCAGACGGAGTTCCAGAAGGTCCAGTAGCATCCCAGGACGAGAACGAGCCATTTTTGGTTGAAATCGAATCACAGGCTGTTGCGGGAGATGTTTGCCAAGTTGACGCTTTATCAAACTTGCTGAATACGTTTCTTGGTATCTCACGCAGGTCCCCCAATATTTTCAGAATTTTTGGATGAAGTGGGAGAGAGGGAGATGCGGCCGAAGATGCGGTGTGCTCCCGATCACGGAGATTTGGCAGCCATCAAAACAATCATGCCGTGACTGTTGAGCATTCAAACAAGACTTTCTTTCTGTGAAAAGCGAGTGAGAATTCACCAAGTCCAAAAGGGTCCATCGGTGAAACAACCGACAAGAAATCCATCATTAGGTGCTTCGGTGGTACTGATAGAGTTCCTTCCAAATTTGATTCTCCCAAGTTCAACGAATTTTCCTCGAATACCGGATGAACGGAATATTCCGACGTCTCAACTGACTCTGCTAATTACAGGGCCCCTGCGCATTTCATTGAGCACCCTACCCACTCTCTCTCGTGCATTGCTTCTTATCAATATGTTCAGAATTTTGGTCGAAGGGTGGTGGTATGATGGCCCACATTGAACAAATGAAACAACCACTGATCACGCCGCCGACGGCCGATAAGGCAGATACATAGGCAATTTTCAGCCGAAAACCCCATTTTCGGGAAATGGGCTTAGAATGCTTGAGGGAAAGCAAACTTCAACAAGGTGTTTGATTTTTTGCCGACTGGCCATGACGCAAGACTCGGAGGAAGAAAAATGGACCTCGGACATTGAAGAGAACCAATGACTTGTCTCAGAAGCCATCAGGGAGTTTTCGGAAGAGATGAAGAGTAGCAAACTGATTTTTGCAAGATTTGTTTTTTTGAACCTGATAGCGATCAAAATAAAAGGCAAAACAAAAACCATGGCAGCCAAGTTAACCGTTACACCATACCGGAACCAACTTTGCGAAGAATTTTGTGTGAAAAGATTTTAATTCAGGGATCGCTCCAATATTTCGAGACGGATATCATCATTCCAGTCGGTTGGGACTAGACCATAAATACAAGGGTTGAAATCCCACAGCGACTTTAATACAGACAGCAAAACGACAGCAGTAGACAGCAAGGTGAAAAGCGATTTCTTCAGAATACAAACGCGAGGTGCGCGCGGTAGTTGGTCCTATCCGTTGTGTATAGATTGACCAGCCGAAGTTGCGTGATAGAACGAGCTACCGCAGCAGATGTAGAAGGAGGGACCAGTGCGGGGTTGAACTCGTGGGCCTTGGGAGGGTTGGGTTGGGTTATAAATTTATAAAAAAAAGAAGAGAACAGACCTTGAAGTAAGAGAAGAATGCTTCCGCGACGCTGAATGCAATGTTAAAACGCGAGACTGGACGATGAGGGCAATTGCCAGATATCTGTTTCACAACAGTAGGGAATCCAGGAAGCTGCAAAGTAGTTAGCCGGATGGTCGCCAAAAATACATGCGCAAGAACAGACCTCCATCGTTATGAAAATGTTGTTCAACGAGTTGTCGAGAACACGTTCACGTGGATCATCCAGGACATCGCGAAAATCGAGGATCTCTGTTAGTGAAACCCCGTGTAAGGTTTGATTACCGAGAGGCTTGGGGGTGAATGGTATGGTGATTAAACCCTTTATAGCAGGAAGGGATGTTGGATGTTGGGGCTTCAGACCATGTGCGAACTGTGAAAAGACAGCACCGTGACTGCCGGACACCTGACGCCGACTCTCAACTTTGAGATCGTGCATACACTGCGGGCACGAGGGACTGCCTGCAGCAGCCATGAGTTCATGAAATATGCGCACAGCAGCCTGATCAGGAGTATCCCTGGGTGCGGCATCAGGCCCATGCCTGCCAGACGCCGACTTGGGGGAAACAAATGAGCGGCAATCACGGATTCCGACAGAATGCACGTACCGTCGAAGACCGGGACTGGCGTTGACGACCGGCAGGGCCTTGCGAGCCCAGCATCAACTACCAGCGAATTTCAACACAGGAAGGAAGGAAGAAAAGATAAGCATACCCCAGGAGCATGTGGTTGGCCATTGCTATGGCAGGGTGTCTGAGCGTATCGACCCCCCATACGGTTCGGAACCACCGGGGCGGGGGCAGGAACGTAAACCTCCATCTTTATTAGAACTGGGGAAGATAAAATCGGAGAAGATTTGAGTTACAGGAGACTGATGTGGATAATCATTGTTCACTGTGTGCCGTCGCTCCGTCGTCTGCACTAGGTTTAGCGAAGGAAGGAAATAAAAAAATTCTCGAATCCAATATAACATACCGGGCGTTGGGACGGATGGAGTTGATATGTCGGCTTGATTTGGAGATTGAGCTTATTTTTTTGCGAAACCGGAAAAAAAGAAAACGTGAACGAGCCTGGGGTATGGCACGAGGCCCAATTCGCAGAGGCGGTGGTGGAACGTTAGGCGTGCCAGGATTGGTACGCCCTAGGAGAGCGGGGTCTGGTCCCGGCTATTGATTCGGCAAGCGTCTATTAGTAAAATGGAGATAGAGATTGGTTGAGAGTTAACTCACAAAACCCATCCATGCAGACTGAGCCCGAGAACCAGGGCTTGAATGGGAGCTGGCGCGCTCACGTTGAGAAACCTCTTCGAAGAGAACGTTGACAGAGGGGAGGAGATTTCCGGCGTTGACGATCTGCGCAAATAGAAAATATGAGGGTGGCATGGGAAAATCGGTGACCATCGGAAAGAAAATATACCCCAGGATTTGGCGGAGGAGGAGAGCGGGGCATGACGTGACGAGCGTCGAGATATCGGCGACAAGATAGCAGATTATAGAGCGAGACAGCAGAAGCAGAGCAGGAGAGATGGTGGCAAAGTGTTCCTTGCTTTAGACGGTTTTATACGACGCAGTGAAAACAATGGGCCCTCAACAAGCCACCAGAAAACCGTTTAAGAACCAACTGGGGCAAAAGGGTCACGAAAAGCACCAAAGCGCGGAATTGATCATAATGGTGAGGGCCAACAAACATCAGCCGAAAATGCGCTTCGAAAATAGTGGTCTACAATCGATGACAAATTACAATCTCCCTCTAGGGCCTAGTTACAGACCCGGCGAAGAGAGTGGTGGGTACAAGAGTACGAGCTGAGGGTCCCTGAGCAGTAATTTGTTCAAACTCGGACAGTAGGAGCGTCTGGAGACGAAACGAAATCCGGCAGTCTCCGGAACAAAGTGCTCCGTCGACCAAAAGGGGAACAAGGTCAAGACCACATGTCAGCCGGAAAAAGGTTCCAAAACAATGCGGCGTTTACCCATGGGGAAGAACTTGTTAGCGTTGACTGCAACTTTGCAAGACGCGTCGGAATCAAGAAAATCCTGAGGCATGGAACAGAAATAAAAGCATCTTTGACAGAGACTAGTCAATGCCACGTTCACCAAAAATCACGAGCAATGGAATGAATGTGCCGACGAGCTTGCAAACACCACGACAAGGAGGAGCATCGGATGTGATGAGAGAGCAGGTATGGCATGTGTTAAAGGGTACAAGGACCCATATACACCCACATTTACAACCCTACAGCCTAAGCCGCAAAGGGAAGAAATTGTTCGGCGGCCAATTACAAAAGCCAGCGTAAGGCCAGACAAGACCCAAAGAGGGAAAATGAAGAAAAAAAAATCCTGGAGAGCAGTTTGAGAGCAGTCTGAAAAAAAACTCACCGGCTTGCCACCGCCTTCAATCAAAGACTTTCGCGAGAGTCTGAAAATGTACAATGGGCATCAAGGGAACGCGAAGCGCCGAGGCGTATTACTTAGTAGATATCTCACATACCGGCTCGTCGAAAGTGAATCACGGACACAGTGTGAGAATAGTGCGAGAATGACAAGGGCCCGCGTAGATACAGGGAAGCGGGGTGTAAAGATCTTTGCAACCCATTAGTTGTCAATGAAAAGTGAAAAAAAGACTGTTGTCGGAGCGTATCATGCCATTCCACAGGGTCTAGAGAGCCCGGCGCCCGCAGGAACGACTCTTGAATAGCCTTACAAGTTACACTAATTTAGTTCCGAATCCGACGGTGATTGCCATTAATATTCTGGTTCCCGGGCATTTGAAAATAAATGGGGCTCAGAGTTACAAGGGCAGGCAGGACAAGAACAAAAAGAAGCTTTCTCTCGATACGAAGGAATTTCTTGATGTGTGTACTGGGGGCGACGGAAGAAAGGAGAGATCAGGCAAAGCCATTGCCAAACAAGGCACAGCAAGCATATAAAAAAAGGTGGGTGACTCTCGATAGGGCTACATATGTGGTCGGATACTCATGGGAATGGTGGTAGTACAGATGAGGGTTCTATGTAGAGCAGGATGATAGCCGTAGATAAGTGAGAAATGGTTAGACGCTCCGCCGCCCTGTCAAATTTATTGTCCAGTGATCTCAGTTTTGCCGTTGACCAGAATTTTTTCCTTGCCATGCCCGACCGGGATGCCCAGCCTGAGCACCGCCTCTGCGACCATGGATTCTTCTGGATGCGGGGGCTTGAAGCTACCCAACTGAACAGCAAGCTGCTCCTCAAAAACCGCCGGCCCCGATGCTGCAGCGATGAAGCCCAGGAAGGGAGGTGACGGGTTCAGAGGGCGCGTGCAGAATTCAGGGTGCGCCTGTAGAGCCAGGAAGAAAGGATGATCTGTAGGGGGCCCCATAAATAATCATGTAGAAACTGACGAAAAATCAAGGACTAACCAGGCAGCTCGAGCACCTGCATGCGCTCGCCCTTCTCGTCCTTCCCGGCGAACACGAGTCCGCTGTCATGGAGCCGCTGCACGTAGTCCGGGTTGACCTCGTACCGGTGGCGATGACGCTCCCAAATCTTGCCTGCGCCTCCATACAGCTTCCGGGCACGCGACCAGGTCTCAGTGCCCTCCTCGAACACGGTCGGACGAAGCCCAAGACGCATAGTCCCGCCCATGTGTGTCTTGGATATCTCGGGCATGAAA